TAACCCCTCCCGGCCGGAGCACGGGCAGCAGTTCCCATCACACGCCAGCATGGCTCTTATAGTAAGGAGAAGGAAAGTAATACCGTTTGGCAAATGAAAGCACCTTTATACCAGTAAAATCATAACAGTAGCACCAACCTTGCGTTAGCCGTGATTCCCCCCTCATCAGCTCCTTCATCATCTTCCCTGTGCTGCAGGTCCCCGTCTGTAAATGCTGCCCAGGAGGCCACCTGTACGGTGCATAAATCTCTTCCTAAAGCCTGATCGTGCCAGATGTTATCACTGCAGAGCGGGTGTCAAATGTTTCAGCCTCCCCCAAAATTATTTTTACCAGCTCTTCAATTGCCTGTCACCAGAAGATGCCACAAGGAGACTTGAGTTCTCTGAAAAGAGGGGGAAAGGCACCCAGATCAAACATTCTGACAAATGCAGCCTGTGACAGCAATTGCTGGATTACAGTTTTTTAAACCTTATGTTTCGCATCTGGTTTGTCATGGCTGTTGGAGGTGGGCTCAGCGCACAGTAAATCAGGATAACAAACCTACATTTACCGTGATCCTTTCATCCCCTAGGATCCCAAAGCACATCATTTAATTGCACTCAACCTGCACATAGATTTCATAAATAAAGGAATGATGAATTAGCACAGCTGCTGCAGCATTCACACGAGTTACTAAGACACAATCTCCTTGTGCAATCAATCCAGCCTCATGCTTCAGTGTTTTGTCATAAATTGAGGTCAGGAAGCAACATTCTCCCTACCTGGAATGCAGTGCTGCTAAACTAGCTGAGTACAGGAAGACACTTAAGGATATAGTAATCTGTCTTCCCTGTGCAAATCTCAGAAATTGTTGCAAATATTCATTTGACAGAACTCTCTTGCAGGAGATAAGTGCTGATCCTGCACAGGGGCAGGAGGAATGTGATACAGGGGAGAGATTATCTGCCTCACATTAGGCAGGAGGAAAGCCTGGATGATCCCTTTGACCTTAAAATTGGTATCTCATTACTCCCTTTGTCCAGCAATGGAAACAGAGGAGGAGAGAGGTGAGTCCTTGCCATGCCAATGACACACAGCAGACCTGGTCTAGAAGCCCCTCCTTTGCCCATTCCACCCCCAGCTGAGTGCTCCCTCCATCAGGTTCAGTCTCTGTTTCAGGGGGATTCAAATGCTGCTTCTAAAAGCTACTCAGCCCAGGAGCCTTCTCATGGCAAAAGGGTCAATGGATTCCCCTGGACCTCCTGATGGTGTTACAGCTTCAAACTTCCTGTTTATCTCCCACTAAATGCCTGAGACACCCAGAGCTCAGCCCTTCCCTGGAGCTTGATGCTGCCCCAGCTCTAGCCCTGGCCCGGGAGCTGGCAATTTCAGTCATCCTTGCCATGGGCTTCCTCATCATGCCTCAGCTGCAAAATCCCTTCCCTGTTTCCTGCAAGGAGCATGAACTGTTCCTTGCACTTCAGCTGCTAAAAAGGATGGTAATTACCCCTAATCAGTCTGCAGCAAAAACACAGGCCACAGCTGAAGCGGGGGGCAGCCACAATGAGGAATGGAACCCAATTATTCCAAGTCACTGATAAAACAGGATCAAAGAGGGGGGAAATGTTTTACCAGCTGTAAAAAGCCTGACCAGACTAAGGCTCTTCCTTGGAGAAAAGCCCTTTCTGCCCACAGGCCATCCCTGGTTGGGACCGATGCACATCCATGGGGCAGTTTCTCATTTTTCTTCTTGGTATAGGTGGGGAATTTGGAATTAAGTTCATTTTTGCCTCTGAGGGCAAGCAGCAAGACAGTTTCCTCAGGAAATGAGTGCAGAAATATGGTGCAGAACAAGCACTTTGCTGCCCTGTGCAGGAGCTGAGCTGCTGGGGCACTGCTGTGTCCTGTCATGAGCACCTGGGTGACCCAGGGGACAGGAGCACTTGGGGCTGGGACGTGTGGCAGGTGAGCGCCTTCAGGAGTGGGCAAGGAGCACCAGTAAGGTCACCCCGGGTGTCCCAGTGCCATGTGCTGGGCAGCCTCTACAGGGTACCAAGAGGTGGCACACACTTTCTGCCAGGGTTATCAGTCATTCCTTGGAGCTCAAGACAAGGAACGACTCCACAGAGCCACTCCAGCAGGGCCTGGCTTTGGCAGGAAAATCTCAGTGACGAGCAGCGAGATCTGCCAAGGGATGCAGCGGGCAGAGCAGGGCCTGCACTCGGTCCAGGCTGAGAGCAGGAACCTGCTGGTTTCCTCCCCTCAGCTGGGCAGAGCGGGACTGACTGCAGGAACCAGCCCAGCTTCAAATTATCGCTTGAGTAAGTTGTCAGTAACCAAACATGGATCCTGCCCTGTGTTTGCTGTGCGAACACTGCACTCCTGTGCCTATTCCCAGGACAGTGTTTAAATTGGCAGCTGCAATGGAGGGATTTGCCTCTGGCCTGCCCCCAGCCTGGCAGAGCAGAGGGGGCTGCGAGTGGCTGTCGAGGGCAGGGTCAGATCAATGGCTCAGTATTTGTCCCTGACAGAGCCTGGCAGCAGACGCTTCAGAGGAAGATGTGAGAAATACGATAATGGATGGGGGACATGTGCTGGGGATACGGGCACAGCCCTGAGAGATGCAGCCACCCAGCCCCACGGCGCTGGCATCACCAGCAGTGTTGGCAGGACTTTTCCCATTTGGGCAATGGGAAATGGGACGCGGCAGGGCCCAGAGGCCCCATGCCCAGCAGCCCCAGAGGTGGGCAAGGGTGGTGCTGCCATCCCGGCCTGTGGCGTAGGGGACATGTGCTCTGTGGGGCAGCCCCACGGCTCATTCCAGCCCTTGGTGGCAGCAGGGAGATTTGCGTGGCTGCTAACAGTGGCAATGGGGAGAGTTGGGAGGTGGCGAGGGAGAGGAGGAAACAGCCTGTGTGTGAGAGAGAGACTGCAGAGACAGATTGCTTATAAATCACTCCTGGGCCTGCCAAGCCCTTGCCAGGTGTCTGGTAGATTGCGTTATGCTATCTGGAGAAAGTTTAATATAAAAAGCCAATAATCCCTGTGATAAGAGGGGTGATAAGGGAGAGTGCGGCCTCAGGTCCCACAGGAGCTGGCCTGGACGTGGCAGGGAGCTGGGGCCGTGCCGAGGTGCCACAGGGACAGGGCGGTCCCCAGGCCCTGGCAGCGGGACCTGCTTCCAGCCGAGCAAACGGGGCGGCTGGCAGCACTCCTCCTGCCGGCAGCCATGGCTGGGGAGGCCCCAGGTGGCTGCACCACAGTAGCTGCCGGGAGAGGGAAGGGGCAGGGGCAGGCGAGGGGCTTCGAGCAGTGAGGTGGGAGCCTGGTGCCCAGGTGCCAGCTGCCGCCAGCCTCTGCTCTGGCCCCCAGTGCTACTGGGGTCCCAATGGCCCAGCGGGGCCTGGCATGAGTCACGGGCAGAGCCTGTGCATGGCCCATGGCAGCAGAGTGTGAGGAGGGAGAACGTGACCCATGCTTGGGGACACAGGGCTGCCCACGAGATGCGTGGGGATGGCCCAGGCAACCCACCCGGGGACCCCAGCCAGCATGTGCTCTGAAAATGCCTCCCTCGTCCCTGTGTGCCCCAAGAGATGCTGCCCCGTCCCAAAGGCAGGCCCTGCTGCCTGTCTGCAACAGCGAAGTGCTGAGGGCAGGGTGCGAGGGAAACCTCAATGTCGTCCTGAGAGGCTGAAGCAAAACACAGGATTAACCCCTGCAGCTTTAAAGCACTGGAAGCCACGTGGTTTCATATTAAAGTCAGGAGGGAAACTTTGCACAAGGGTTTTGCCACTGTGCCCAAGCTGCTGAGGGCAGGTGTGTGGCCAGCAGCGCTGCTGGAGAGCGGCCGCCGGCAGCTCCTCTGCCCAGCCCTGGCTGGAGCAGGCTCTGCCGCCAGCGAAGATGGGCTGGAAAAGAGGGGAGAAGCCTGTGAGCTCCAGCAGTGTGGCATGGGACAGGCTGTGGCTAAAGGCCCACAAGCTACCAACCACTGTGCCTTATGAAATGCCTCTCAGATGACTGAATATGCAGTGTCAGTGGGGGACGGCACTCTGCAAAGCCAGGCTCTACATCCCAGGGAGGGACTGGGATTTACTAGCAGCTGGTGTACGGATGGCAGCTGAAATTTAACAGGTTTGGTGGGTCTCAGCCCTGTTTCTACTGGAAAAAATCCACAGCATTCAAACCACAACTGAGAAGCACAGGAGGAGCCGGTGCCTGAACCTCCAGCGAGGTCCTGTCTGCACCATGCTGAGGCATGCAGTGCCAAAGGGAGCCTGAATTTCTCAGACTCGATCCTGCAAAGCACTTGTGTATGTGGTCAGCTTTAGGTGTTAGGACTCAAGAGTGGTCCTGAGGCAGGGGGGAAAGGAAAAATCCTTCCTTGTCTCAGGGCCTGAATTTCTGCTGTGCCTTTTATTTCTTCCCCTTTAATTCCAGGTAAAAGAGACAGTATTCTCAGGGTAAAAGCAGGATCTTAAAGCCTGCATTTCCATTGCAATGACAGCATGACTTTCACCTTGTGTCCAGAGCTTCAGAGAAGAAAGTGTCTGTACAGCTTCTCTCCTTGAACCACTGCTGGAGTGGGATATGATATCTGAATAATTTACAAAGGCTCTTCATTAAACAGATTTATTTTTGGCAGCTTTGTTAGTCTGCTCCTTTTAGGAACGAATAGGAAGTTGCTCTGGTCTCATTAGGACATCCCTGTACGAACCCTTCCTGCTGGGGCTGGGGACTGGGACAGCCTATTGCTCCATTATCAATGCTAAATATAAACTCCCGGTCCCTGGGTAACCAGGTTCCTGCGCCAGTGGCCAGCCGACCTGGCGAGCAAGGATGTCACTAGACATGTATGTCCTGGGCAGTGGGAGCAATGGCAGAAGAGCATCATGGAGGCGCGGGAGAGGCCCAGTCCTGCACCGGCTCGGAGAGGGGCACTGCTCCTGTTATCCAGCCAGACGAGGCCACAGGCTTGGGCAGGCTCAGGATGCGGTGAAAGGCTAATCTCAGCGTGGACATGGTGTGGTACAACCTGGGGGCAGACGCAGCGTGCCGGGAGATCTCCACGCGTACTGCAGTGCCTCAGCGATGGCAAAGACAGGCACAGCACCCTCCCCCAGGAAGGCTCATGCCAGGCAGGGTGCTGCCAGAGAGGGAAGTGGCTCCTCCAGCCCCCATGTCCTGGTTATCTCCTGGCCTGGAGACACCTTTGCCATCTTCCCACACCAGATCCCTGTGCAGCATCAGGCCTGTGACTAAGCTGTTAGCATCAGCACCTGAGTCCTTGGCTGCTCTCTGTGGCCCCTCCAAAGGGTGGTCTGGCTTCCCCAGGAGCACTCCCTGGAAACCCACAGACAAGCTCAGCCCGACTGCGGCCCAGCCCTGGCTGTGATGAGAGCCCGGCGTCCCTTACCCAGGAGCTGAGGTGTGAGGGGAGCAGGGGATCCATCCGCTTCAGCTGCAGCTTCCCAACATTGCCGTAAAACCGCCTTGTAGCAGACAAATGTCGGTTCTTAGAGAGCTCCTACACTCCAGCTCAGAGCTCCCTTCCGCTGGAAACCCCCTCATTTCCTGAGCCAGGTCTGAGGTGGGCTGTGGGAATCCCCTCCTCTTACCGGGAGGTGTTTAAGGCTCCTCCACACAATGTTCTGTTGCCTTGCCCAGGCCATTCTCACCTCTGCTGACACATGCAGGCCCACTGCTTGGGCCAGGTTATAATTTGCTCTTCTTCAGACACAGATACATTGCCCGTCTGGAGACAGGCCCATAAACGAGTCATTTACTAGGCACAAGCGAATTTGTGTTCCCTTGGATTGGGATTTGCCAAGATTATACCATAAATTAGTGTGTTTCCTGGAAGAAAGTAAGCAGGGGGAAAAAAAAAGAAAAAAAAAAAGAAAAAATGAAACATTTTGTAGCCAACATAAAAGCCAATAAAGGAACATTTCATTTCCCGCTTGGAAGGGAGCAACTGCGAGTTGTTGCAAAGTAAGAGCAGAGCTCCTGGGCTTTCACACCCACAAACCCCAATTTCCAACATGTGATTCAAAGCACGGCATTTGTATGCTGCATATTTCTTCTGCACTTAATATAATAATCTCTATAGTAGATACCCAATTCCTGTAATGAATTTGGGATGGTCACCTGCAAGGCCAATCTGTTCTGTGCTGGGGGCCAGGGAGGGTAAAGCTCTCAACTCAGGCACTGCACATCTGAATCATCACACAGCTGAGGGCCAAACCCTTCTGCATCCCATCGTCCCTTCCTTTCCCCCACATGGCAGCAAGGTGACAAACCTGGCAGGGAACACGAGACACACTCCAGACTTGCTCTAGTGCCTCCCACTGAAGGCAGATCTCAGCAGAAAGGCAGGATTCAGCTTGGCGAGGGGACAGCAGTGACCCAGCCTGGTTACAAACCACATCTCACTGCCCTTGTGCCAAGCCTGAGCTACGGCAGCTCTGTTTCTCGACATGTAAAAAGGGAACCAGGGTGCTGACCAGCTGTGGGATAGTGTCTACCCTGCTTTCCAACCCTTATTCTGCAGGGACGCGAAGCCTGCCTGCACTATTAATAATCCTTGGCATGAAGCTGTCACAGTTTTCACTAATATGGAGATGTCGAAGTAAAAAAGCTACTGCACAATATGCAAGAGGTGTCACAGTAACTCAGCTGCTATATTGTTGTCTTTAAAAATAAACACCACAACAGCCCAGCCCGCATTGCTGGAGTCATGACGTGTAGGGTTTTATTTTTAATCAGGAAATGCACTGATTTTTAAAGATAGACGCAGAGCAGCATCTCAAATTGATGAAAGCTCCCTGTGTGTTCACACACGCCAGCCGTATTCCTGCCTGTTATTCTCAGGCTGACTTCCAAGGACCTGATCCCGCCTCAGCTCAGGCCCGTTTGTGTGCATGGCTTGCAAGAGGCCCCATGGCAACAAAGTCCTTCCAGCAGCCAAGTCTGTGGCTGAATTCACCACCTCGCTGCTCTCCGTGGGGATCCAATCGATCCCCTAGGACACAAACTGCAGGGTCTGCTCCTCAGGCAGCAGGTTTAGGACCAAGGTTGGCATCCAGAGCATAATTTTCTGTTGTTTGGAGAGGAGAGGTCTGTCTGGGGCCAGTTGCAGGTGAATTCCCTTCTCTTGGCCTTCCCTCCTGCTCAGCAAAAGCAGGGCTGAAATAAAGGAAAACAAAATCCCAATGTAAACAAACCCTGTTCTATTGCCTGGGGAAAGATGTGAAAATGCGCCGCAGCTGATGGCGTCCCCTGCACGGCCCAGATCCTGTGGTGTCACACCAGGTGTGACAACTGGTAAGGAACCGGAGCGGTGGCTTCATTAACGGCCGAGCTTCCCCATCCCTCCGGCACCTCCCGATAATCACGCACCCCGGCACCCGCAGCAGCTCTCTACCGGGCAGGCCAAGGTCGGGGCGCTGCGGGAGGCCAGAAGCCGGCCCGGCTCTCTCCCGCGCCGGAGCCGGGCTCGCCCCACGACCCACCGCCGGCCCCGGTGCGGGGCCTTCTGCAGAGCGGCTGCCCGGGCCCAGCTCCACTACGCCCGGCCGGGGGGGTCCTGCCGCGGCCCCGGCGGCCAGGAGGGGCCCGGGGAAAGGGGCACGACAGCCGGCAGCCCCCGGAGGGCACGGGGGGCAACGGCCGGGGCTCAGGGAAGGGACGCCGCAGCGGGAAAGG